CTCACATCTAGAAATCTGGAGATGAGGGAGACCAGGGAAGCTGTTCAACTGTGTTGTCGGGGATTCAGGTTCTTTCCACATTTCTATTTTTCCATATGCAAGGTGTAAGCTTTTGCCATAATGCTTGTCACCTCATGGTCATGAGATGGCTGCTGTAGCTCTAACACACGTTCACCTTCCAGTAAGAAGAAGAAAGAAAAGCAAAGGGGAAAATAAGGAAAGGCAAAATTTAAAGGGACAAAAATGTTTTTCTCCTGTTGAGACTTTACTTTTTCATTGGGACAGAGACATTAGTCCCAGGGATTTCCACCTACATTTCATTGGCCAGAATTATAACATATGGTTAGCCATAGCAGTAAGGGAGGCTGGGAAATTGAGTATATTGTTTTCTAGCCTCTTCGGAAGAGGAAGGCAAGTAAAAAGGGAATGAATGTTGAGTGAATCCTATTTATAGCTTCTGCCACAGTCGTCTTCTTTTTTTTTTCTTCTTCCTTTTTATATATTTTTTTTATTGAGGTGAAATTTATGTAACTTAAAATTACCTTAAAAATTATTTTTATTTTTATTTTTTTTAAACATCTTTATTGGAGTATAATTGCTTTACATTGTTGTGTTAGAGTCTGCTGTATAACAAAGTGAATCAGCTATACATATACATATATCCCCATATCCCCTCCCTCTTGTGTCTTTCTCCCAGCCTCCCTATCCCACCCCTCCACGTGGTCACAAAGCACCGAGCTGATCTCCCTGTGCTATGCAGCTGCTTCCCACTAGCTATCTATTTTACATTTGGTAGTGTATATATGTAAATGCCACTCTCTCGTTTGTCCCAGCTTACCCTTCCCCCTCCCCATGTCCTCAAGTCCATTCTCTATGTCTGCGTCTTTATTCCTCTCCTGCCCCTAGGCTCTTCAGAACCATTTTGCTTTTCAGATTCCATATATATGTGTTAGCGTACGGTATTTGTTCTTCTCTTTCTGACTTACTTCACTCTGTATCACAGACTCTAGGTCCATCCACCTCACTACAAATAACTCAATTTCGTTTCTTTTTATGGCTGAGTAATAGTCCATTGTATATATGTGCCACATCTTCTTTATCCATTCATCTGTCAATGGACACTTAGGTTGCTTCCATGTCCTGGCTATTGTAAATAGTGCTGCAGTGAACATTTTGGTTCATGACTCTTTTTGAATTATGGTTTTCTCAGGGTATATGCCCAGTAAGGGGATTGCTGGGTCGTATGGTAGTTCGATTTTTAGTTTTGTAAGGAACCTCCATACTGTTCTCCATAGCGGCTGTCTTCTTTTAAACTTGCCAGTGTATCTTTGTAGCTGCTGGTACAACTTCTGAAGGTGTTATTGCATGTCCATCTGGGACCCCTGATGGACAGATAGCTTGGATCACATGACCCTTCTGATTCACTGACTGAGAAAATGAAAAGCCTATTATGCCCTATGCGTTCATTAGTGCTTTCACATAAATTTCTAGCTTATTAATCATATCTATATATACTTAAAAATTAGTCATATATATAGACTTCGTTATTTCATCTACAGATACAGTGGATTCACAGACCTCTTCATATAGCCTTGCTAGTCCCCACGGGTTCACTGCTCTACAGCACCCTAGTTTCCTTTCAGAAACACAGAAATGGTCATGTCACCATAACCTTGGTTAAAAATCTTTAGTTCTTTTTTGCCTACAGAAGAAATTCTGAAATAATTAGCATTTTATTCAAGGCCCTATACAACCAATCTTTTGGCCTTATCTCTGGTCACTGTCCTCTCTCTCGAGCTGCTTTGTTCTGCCGCGGAGGCTTTGCACATGCTATTTGCACTGAATGCTCTTCTCTGTCTTCCCCATCTGCTGAAGATCTGTTCCTGCTTTAGACCCATATCAGACGTTACGTTCGCTGTGTGGCTTTCCCCAGGGCCCTGAGGCAGAGTGGGGGAGCTCTCCTCTGCCCCTTCTAGCACTTCTTTGTCCCTTAGTTATGGTGCATTGCCCATTTATTGTGATTGCTTATAGGCTGACTCATCCCAAGGGAACCAGTCTCATTCATCTGTCTATTCTGAGAGCCCAGAATGGAATCTGGCATATTGAGGGAATTCAAAATTTGTATATTGAATGAGTAAATGAAAGAATGAAGGGAAATAGGCAGGGAGTTTATTGTAAGGTCTTCGCTTAGATCAAATCTAAGAAAACAGGCTGCTGCTTTTTTCTTCCTCCTAGAAGCAGACCTTCATTAACACAAAACCAGACTTTCATTAATAGGACCAGATCTTATTAAGGTATGTGTTTAGGACTTTGAAAAAGCTGTCTTGCATTTCAGGAGTTGGAGGGCTCTGTTTCCTGCTCTTAATGTGCCTTAATTTTCTCTGGATTGACACAAAAGCAGTTTGGAGGTGGTACACCCCCAAGGATCATTCGTGACCATGGTCATTAAAAGAGTTGTTTTCAGAGCCATGGGTGTCCTTGGTGAAGGTTCAGGGGTCCTCATGAGGTGCTCCCCTTTGTGTGTGAAGTTCTTTTGATCTTAGCTGCAGAGACAACCTTCAGGCACAGCAAACTACGGTGATTTCTTCTGTTGTGGGCTGTGGATGGTTGATCAGGGAGGCATCCCCACGAGCATATGAATCTGTTCTCTACCCACTGATCACATGGATGTGCATTATCTGGCACTGCTCCTTACCCCTCCATGCCCACCTCCTCATGCCCCATAAAGAGTCTTTGTGTGAATTCTAAAAAGGTCCTCCTTCTGCACAGATGGGATAGAAAAAGCCAACTCCCTCTGGATGGACATAGCTCCATGGGTGCATGACTCAGAGACCTGACAGTATATCTGAGCAAAGATAAAGGCTTTCTTTCCTCTGGGAAGAGGATAACCAGCACCGGCCAATGGTAACTGGGTAATGATAGTGGTCATGCCCTCAGTCTCTACCTTAAAAATATAACTTGCTCATAGACATTTAAAATAATAACTATTTTTATTATATATTTTTAATACTTATTTGTATTTTTATAATAACTCTTATTTTAGAACATTTTTAGACTTATCGAAAATTTGCAAAGATAGTACAAAGAGCTCCCAAATACCCCATTCCCAGTTTCCCCAATTATTAAGCTTTTTTTTTTTTTTTTTTTTTTTTTGATTGAACTCTCAGGTAATATTTTAGAATACATTTCTGTATTGAGATTAGGTACAAAAATTGTTTTTTTAGGCATTCTTCTTTCTTCAACTCCCATAAATATCTGAATTTTGTGTTCCGGGGCACGAACCCGTGTCCCCTGCATCGGCAGGCGGACTCTCAACCACTGCGTCACCAGGAAGCCCTGAGCTTTTATATTAGTATGGTACATTTGTCACAATTAATGAACCAATATCGATATACATTAACTAGTGTACATACTTTATTGAAATTTCCTTAGTTTTTCCTAATGTCCTTTCTTAGTTTCAGGACCCCATCAGGATACCACATTTAGTTATCATGTCTTCTTAGGCTCCTCTAGGCTGTGACAGGTTTTCAGACTTTCCTTGTTTTTTGATTACCTTGACGGTTTTGAGGGGTACTGGTCAGATGTTTTGCAGAGTGTCTGTCAGTTGGGATTTGTCTTTTCCCTATGACTAGACTGAGTGTTTTAATGGGTTTTATTATTTTTAGGTGTGGTAAGGCCAACAGATCAGGGGATGACTGCCATTGAAAAGATAGTTTGTTAGTATTCACAGATCCCAAAAGAGGGGGTACACGTCATACCACGGAGGCCACACTGAGAAGCATTGGGGTTGTTGTGAGGCGGAGGGAGGGAGGAACTGTGGGCAAGAGTCTTTACTGTGGTTTCTGAAGGAAGGAATGGGTTCTGCCAGGTAAGCAGGCTTAGGATTGGCTAGTTTGAATAATTTTAGTGCGCTCTGGGGCATAGGGGCTGTCCTTAGTTGTCTGGTACCTGTCTGGGGTTATTGGGGCAGGTGGAGAGTGGCTCAGGATGTGAAAGCTTGGTGAGGGAGATGTTGGGGTGTGGTTGCTGGTTTGGTTGGCTGGTATCTGAAAAGCATGCCCCTTGGAGGGGGGACTGTTCCTGAGGAATGGAGGGGAGGGAGGAAGGGGGAGGTGACGGAGGCAGGAGGCCGAGGCAAGATGACTCAGGGGTATTTTCTGGTTGTCCAAACAGGGCATGTCTGGGATACGCATGTAGGGCAGATGTTAAAGTATTAAGTTTACAGAAGATGGAAACATGCTTAGTACTCTGGGGTTATATATTTTGGGGAGAAAGACCATGGAGGTAAAGTGCCATTTTCATCACATCGTATCAAGGATGTAACTTATCACTGTCGATATTGACCTTGATTACCTGGCTGATCAGGCCCTATTTTGCGGCACCCTATCTACTTCATGTCTGCCTTTAATGTTCATCTCATATGTTTGAAGTGTTTGTAGGGTAGGGTCTTGGTAAACATCCAGTGTACTTTTCCTTGAGTCTTGATCTTCCAGAAGAATGAAACTGCCTGTAGTGGGTTCTAGTTCTTAGACGGGGGGCCCTCTTTGGGGTGGGTGTCTCCACAGAATACAGTCTTGAAACTTGGGCCTCAGAAAAGATCAGTTCACAGGGGAGACTTGTGTCTGAATATCCTGCTGTTCTCTAAAATGGTCATCCTTTGTATACTTCCAGTTGCTGAATAAATAATTCAGTAAATACCGACAGCTCTGTCAGGAGTTGGAGTTGATTACCACTGAAATGAGACAGGATATATATTCATAATACTTAGCTGTGAGTTAAAATGCTCAGAGTATTAACCTATTTTTGTATATAAATTTAAAAAATCCTGGTTACTCCATAAGTTGCCTGACCAAAACCTTTGGAGCCCTCTGATGTTGGTGGAGATCATGAAAGATATGTCAGTGTTCCTGCTCTGCTTTTGAAAATCCCGAGTTGGGCAAGGCAGGCCATGGAGTTGGTTGGTAACTCACCTGCACCCCTTTTTCCCCCTCATGCCTCAGGGTCTAAGTCGCAGAACTGTCTGTGGAACTCCCTCATCGACGGTCTCACGGGGAATGTCAAGGAGAAGCCACGGCCGACGATTGTCCATGACCCCCGGCCACCGGAGGAAATCCTAGCTGATGAATTGCCTCAGCTTGATAGCCCGGAAGCCTTGGTGAAAACGTCCTTCAGGTTTGGTGGATTGCAACACAGTTTGTTCCTTCTTATTTGCTTGTGGAGTTATTTCAGTCCAGTTGGATGCCACGTCAGCGTGGCCAGCAAATTACCTCATTTCTCTGCACGAAGTAAATTAGAATTGATGAAGTTGTGTCGGAAGTAATGCCGCTAAACTTCTGGCTGGATTTCCTGAATGTAGTGAAGACCATATCAGTAGTTAAGTTGCTGTTGGTATTTAATTGGTATTGGCATTTAAATGCGGAGGCAAAGGATTTACTGACATTGGCAATTTGAATTGGATTACTGAGTCTTTTGCTCCGAAGGAGGATGACGCAGGGAGATATGTGCACAGGGAAAAAGCACGTGGTGGGAATTAACTCAGCCCCGTGCCTTTAGAGTTCCTTGCTGGGGGAAGTTTTCTAGTTGTAAGAGAAGTGAGAGCTGCTGCCTTCTGAAATGAAGTGCGGATCTTCTTGTGTGGTTTCCCAGGTGGCTGTTGACTCTGTTCTTGTTCATCGTTTAGTCCTGCGTTTTCCCGCAAAGTTCTCTGGTGTTTTCTTTTTGTATTGTACTCCACTTCCATCATGAGGCGTCTCCTTACCTTCTCACCTGTATTAAATAAAAATCAGTCTGGGTGTGGACGCGGTATAGAAAAGTGATTCTTTTTTCTGAATGGGTCTTTCAGACTCACCTTTGAAATACGTAGTCGTACTGGTATCAGAAATTAAGGTTTAATGATTTTGCCAGCCTGCCTTCCTCCCCTCCTTTCCCCCTGTTATTCTAATTTTACTTCTTTCATTTTTCTTTCCATTATATAAGGCTTTCATACTCTCCACATGGCTAGTAGTGCATGTAAGCTTCCCTTTTATTCCCTCATAAACAAATCAGACAGGATTTGGAGTCCAGGAAATATACTTGAAAAATGTGCTCTCTTTTGCATCCAGGTGATATGTGTAATCGCCCAGTAAAAGCCATTTCATTGTGTGAAGGTTCTTAGTGTGGACTGAATTATAGATGAGTTCTGAAAAGGAGTGATGAATTGGGGGTTGGATTTCTTTATATAATGTGACTGATGCAGTGGCGGGACCAGAATTGCAAGGCAAATGCTTTTCTTATTCCTTGTAAGGGTTTACTGCATTGTGAGGTTTAAATAAAATAAAAACCACTCAAGTAGAGAGAAGTACATTCTATGAACCTGTGATTCTCTGCAAGTGACTGTGGGGGGAAGAGGGGAGGGTGAATGGGTCTCATGGTCTGTGTGTTCTCATTTCCAAGTGTCTCTGGTGGAGTCAACCCCTTCATATACTGTTTTCTGGTAATTACACCTTCCACCTCAAACCAGGTTCATCGTCTTCTTCAGTGAATAGCTAAAGAGCTGCTCCCATGAAAAGAACATCGTATTTGCTAGCCCAACTCCATTACCATCATCCCTTCTCTTTGCATTCCCTCTGTGCTCTTTAATAGAGAAAAGGTACTGATGGCCATGAACTTCTTTTGATCTGCTAGTTGTATTATGTGCCAATATCTTGGTTCCAGAAAGAGATTAAGTTATAAGTTTGTTAAGGTCAGGATTTATTTCTGATTCCTTGTAGCATTTGGTGTGTAGTAGGAGAAACAGAGTAGGTGTAAATATGCCAGTCCTATAGCAGTGGAAGCCAGAAATGTCTTGGCATTTGTTGTTCATTTACTGGTCTCCTTAATACAATTCTGTGCTATCCTGGAACCATCCTTTCTTCCAAAGAAGATAGTTGATTTCAACAGCAATGTTAGAGGGTAAATCTTCTCTAATGCAGTTGTCCTTAATTGTGGTAGTAACGTCAGTTGTGAGATTTGTTGCAGATAAATTATTATAAGCAAAATGTGGGAACAGCTTACTTATCAAGAAATAATTTAGAGCAGAATCAAGGTTGCTCTTGTAGCAGAAGACCTAAATAGACATTTCTTCAAAGAAGACATACAGATGGCCAAGAGGCACGTGAAAAGCTGCTCAACATCACTAATCATTAGTGAGATGCAAATCAAAACTACAATGAGGTGTCACCTCACACCGGTCAGAATGGCCATCATCAAAAAATCTACGAACAATATATGCTGGAGAGGGTGTGGAGGAAAGGGAACCCTCTTGCACTGTTGCTGGGAATGTAAATTGATACAGCCGCTATGGAGAACAGTATGGAGGTTCCTTAAAAAACTAAAAATAGAACTACCATACGACCCAGCAATCCCACTCCTGGGCATATACCCAGAGAAAACCATAATTCAAAAAGACACGTGCACCCTAATGTTCACTGCAGCAGTATTTACAATAGCCAGGTCACGGAAGCAACCTAAATGCCCATCGACAGACGAATGGATAAAGACGATGTGGTACATATATACAATGAAATATTACTCAGCCATAAAAAGGAACGAAATTGCATCATTTGTAGAGACTGTCATACAGAGTGAAGTAAGTCAGAAGGAGAAAAACATCGTATATTAACGCATATATGTGGAATCTAGAAAAATGGTGCAGATGAACCGGTTTGCAAGGCAGAAATAGAGACACAGATGTAGAGAACAAACGTATGGATACCAAGGGGGGAAAGCAGGGGTGGGGGTGATGGGATGAACTGGGAGATTGGGATTGACATGTATACACTAATATGTATAAAATAGATAACTAATAAGAACCTGCTGTATAAAAAATAAATAAAATTAAATTAAAAAAAAAGGTTTCCCTTGTAATAATACACTTGTTTTCTAGATGCCTTTTGGACTGCAGAGAAGGAATGAGTTATAGCTGGATATTAAATAATGTGATAGGAATATATCACAATGTGTTCCCCCCACCTCCCTTTTTACTCCAGGAGTGAAAAAACCTGGTAGTTGCTGACTCCAATATTAGTGACTCTGGAAAATCTAGGACGACCAGTGCATTATGCTCCTACAGTTTTAAACTTCAGGGGTGCATCCATGATCAGCGCTCTCAATCCCTACGATAACTTCATTAACCAAGCAGTACAGTGGTCCCTTTGCTGAGATTGAGGTGTTGGGTTCTTTTTTCTGACTCTGAAATTCAGTCTCTCAGCCACCGTGCCGTGTGTGTGTGTGTGTGTGTGTGTGTGTGTGGACACACTTATACACAACCCCACACACAGTTAAGGGATCCGGGCATGTGACTGTGAACATCCTGCCCTTTGCAGTTCTGCACAGTCTTGTTTGCTGCGGAGGAACACATGGTTCTCGTGAACTGGCATCCTCTGTCCTCATAGCTTCTCTGCAGGATCGTTACCACCGAGCAACAGGGGAGAAGTGATAGCTTTGCCTACTCCCTTCTCTTTCTCCTTGTTCACACTTGTAGGGCATTTGGAATTTGGGGCCACAAAATATGGTCATCATTTTTTTTTTTTTTGCTTGGGCAAGGAAATGCCTCTTTATTGGTGCTGGAGCTGTTCCTGAGGCAGTCAGACCATGGGACCCTCCCTCATTGGGACCCTTGCCCTCAGCTACTTCCATCTGTGGGAGATACTCTGTCCCAAGGACACCTCTTGTATCAGCTTCTGTGACTGATGCAGAAGTGGGCGTGGTAGGTGGGGGTGTCCTTCTGGGCAGCAGCTGGGGACGCACGTGCAGGTAGCGCTTGGCAGCCACCTCCCACCCCTCCACGCCTTTGAGCAGATACACACAGAGTGAATAAGATCAGACTTGGGTTTTGTGGGTCCAGGTGCAGACACTGTGAGCTCTGAATGAAAGCTCACGAAGCCTCTGACATGAAAAAGTCTGCTTTCAAAACCCGAGACTTTTGAAAAGAGGAAAGTGGGAACCATAGCTAAATAAAAAGGCTTGAGTGTCTCGAAAGTAGACACTTCTGGGAACTGTACCCAGGTGCCTGTTTTCCTTGTTCCTCACGACCTGTCCCTTTGAACCTTGTTCTGCTCAGGTTTTTCTTAAAAGAGATGAGAGAATATGCTGAGCCTGAAGCTTAAGGAAGATAGACCAGTCCAGCCAGTCTGATTAGTGACTGGAATCTTAGTATTTACCACTAGAGGACCCAAGAGAACAGGAAAGAGCTGGCTGCTGAGAACCCTTTATCTCCCCAGCTTCTAGTGTGCACATTTGCAAAGGTGAGACCCAGCCCAGATTGTACTGAAAGTCAAGGAAACCAATGTTTATTGAGCATCTGCTATGTCTAGGAACTGTACATTCATTTGCTCATTTAATCTCCCCAAACCCTGGCAAGGTGTGTATTGCTATCCCAGTTGTGCAGGTCAAGAAACTGAGTCTCAGAGAGATCAAGTAACTTACCCAAAGCCACCCAGCAAGTGGCAGAGCTGGAAATTTCAACCCAGTCCACCTGACTCCAAAGCCTTACCTGTCCACCATGTTCTACCACCACATCACCTTGGCTTTCCTGCTTCTGGGTTTACTGTTGGTGAAATAAGATAGCGTGATTGATTCTACTAATCTGGATGTGCAATTTGGATATATAGTTTGAGGCTTATCCTATGAGACTGACCCTGTTCTATTGCACTAAATCTTTTTTCTAGTCTAAACTTACGTTTTTGATCCACCTACCCCTTTCTGGTAGGAGCCCATTAAGGCAAACTTTATGTCCAATAAATTCGTTGGGGGATCCTGTTAAATGCAGACCCACATTCAGTAGGTCTGGGTAGCAGCCTGTGAATCTGTGTTTCTAACAAGCTCCCAAGAGAGGTGATGGTCCAAGGACCACCCTCTGAGGAGTGAGGCGTGGGCTTTGGAATACCACAGGCATGAATTTGCAAATGCTCTTCTTAACTGTGTGATTTTGAGTCATGGTTTTGATTCTCAGTTGCCTCATTTTACAAACGGAAATGAAATAGCAGCAGTGGCCTTGGGTCCTGTTGCTAGGATTAAGTGGGCGATGAATATGACGGGCCCTAATTCCTTCTCTCCCAGTTTTTCAAAATCCTGTTTAGGAGTGGATTGATCCTCTGCACCTTGACCCCTTCTTCTGTGACTGGGCTGTGCAGTGTGCCCCAGACTGGGAATAC